CACAACCAAAGTTGATGGAACAATAAGTAGTGATGTTTTCCACTAAACTAAATGCTAAGTTAAGGTGGCACAGCCAAGGCAAGGTGAGACACAACTACTGAAAATACTCATGCTAAAGTAAGAAGGACTTTTGTTTGTATTTGTAGGTCCATCACAGTCCAGTTCTTACCAACACACATTCCTCATTAAGCCTAGTGGCGTCAGTTTCTGTGCTTACAAGTATGCCAGAGTTTTAAACTGGTTTCTGTGGCAGCATGCTTGCATTTTGTATTACCAAGAAATAGTTAGTTTACCAAAGTCAAGACGGGAGGATCTGCATAAGGGCTGATCAATATGTTTTCTCCTTTTTAGGTCTGATGCCTCATATGTTTAATTTAAATAAAATATGTCAGTGTTTACCTGTTGATAGACATTTTGTTGTGATGTGTAACCAGACAGTGCTGTGGTGAGACATTACTGCAGACCACAGAGGTAGTATTGACAACAAAATATTACGAAACATTATAAAACATAACGTTACTGATGATTGGAAAAGTCCAGCCAGTGGTCAGACTGATGTCCAGTCAGTCTGTGAACAGCTCCAGCAATAAGGAGGAAGGCTGAGTCTATGGAGGAGAAACCTGAAGGATCCAGGAAAAGTTTCTGATGCTTTAGAGAAAAAAGAAAGATAACTCTGAGCAAAGATTACAGTCTAATAGGGAAAGGAAGAATAGGTCATAAGCATATGTTGACAGTGTTTGCATCAGTGCTGTCACTGCCACAACCCGCTCTCTGCAGCTTTAATTATGCTTAAAGACAAGACTGGTTTTGTTTTATGCTCTTGTCTTTGTCAAATCCCATGAAAAGAACAAAAACCAACAATGACTGTGTCAAGCATTGTGTGAGTAAAATCTAATATGTTATTCCTTTGTGCCACAGAGCTGACAAAAGCTTTTTAAACCCCATCAAACACACCATCGTACTGCCACAAATATTCAGTAGAGAGTTGTATATGTATTACACACTGCTGAAAACTGTCCTTAACAAATGTACCACATCTGCTGGATTGATGTTAAAAGCACACTGCCCAGCTGTTTCTGTAAGTTACCAAGTGGTTTTTAAAACAGAAAATGTACATGTACATGTTTAAAAATACATGTCTTCACTAAAAAACAGAAGGAGGCTTGAGGCTTCAGGATGAGCTTGGCAAGAAATCCTCAGAGTATCTCCAACCTAATCATTTAAGTGTGACCATGTATTCAGAAAATGACTAATATTGGGTTTTCCCCTCAGAATTGTGACTTGTCATGGGAAAGCCTCTGAAACACTATTCAGACCATCACTGAAAGCCGTATTAATGAGATTTATTGCAGCCTCTTGCAGGCTTTGCTGGCTGTTCAGTAAAATCTCTCCTCAACACACTGGGAGGATTTCTCTGATCAGCACTCTCATATAAAATTAGAAGTAGGAAAAACATCTCAGCTTGCTAATGTGGATCTGATGAAACACCATCGCTGATTTAGGACCGGAGCAATAGAGGGACTTAAAAATTAACTTCTTGATTTTGATAGCAGACCGTCTGACAATTTAACTTCTTCTTTAGGAAGTTATGGGCTCGTTGTTCATGTGTCTGCTCAGGAAAGTCTGGAATGTTTTTTCTTTGGTAGGAGGGAAGAAAGAGCTGAGAATGTGCTGAAGCTGAGACAAGAGGACAAGCTGAACGTAGATAACACTCCAGGCTCGGTATCGTACGACAAGCCGGGGTCCTGCTTGGCAAATTACCTCCCCTACCTTTCAAAGTGGAGGGTGGCTTGTTCTTGCACATTTATTTATTTTTCTCTTTTTGTGCTCCTCCTGAGGAGCTTGTCAGCCGTGACAGCGTCGTACTGAAGTTATCTTGGGCCCTTGGTCCACGTCTGCAGGTGTTCTGTTGCTGCTCGGCATCGCTCGGGGACTGGGCTGAACAGAGCTGCTCTATCGCCTCTGATAAGCAATTAGCATTCTAAAAGGCTGCTTTCTCTCACATTCAAGTTCATATTATGTGGAAATTTGAGCAATCTCAGTCCCTTGTTGGCCAGATTCCCTGTTGCTGTGATGAACACAAATAATTCATTCCCCCGTCGTTATGGCTTCAGCCGGCGTGGCATTGACAGATTCATTATAATTTTATTCATTTTTAAGTAAACATCAAAACAGCAAAGACACTCGGCTAACCACACACACACATTAGAAGAAATGCACATCGGCACACAAACACACATCAGTCAGAACCCACAGAATGCACATGGCTTTTCTAATTACATGGACTCGCCCTCCTGCTGCCAGAGAAGCTCATTTGGGCACTGAGAGGAATGTATGTGCTAAAAGCAAAGGGGGCTTGGAAGGATGAGTCTTAATGAGGGGAATCAGTGGAACGTGTCTGATGGTGACATTTCTTCCTGGAGCTGGAGGGCTCTCCATGAAGAGCAGGCCTTCACCGCGGGCCTCGCTCCACCACTCAGCCTCTCATCCTCAGATAACCGGGCCCGGTGCAGCACAACAAGCAGCTCTCACACAGGAGGCAATTAAAACTCTGATCTGCTTACACACCCGGAAACGCTGGCTTGGCTGCAGGCAGAGGGGAAGAGGGCCGGGGTGGTGGGGAGGTTCACTGGTGGCTGGGTGGTGATATTTGTTTGTCAGCAGAATGGCTGGAAATTAAAAGTAGTTTATTGCAGCATACAATGTTCCTTCAAAACTTATACATTACTAAAGAAAACAGATGAAACTTCAAAATGAAACACAGAAAGCGACACTGGGGGAGTCGGCCAAATGGGAAACTATTAAGTAGAAGCTGGCACACAGTCAGAGGAGCTCTTTAACAGCAGCAGCAGCACTGCTGCCAAACCTTAATACGATGTGTTAGTGAGGAGGGTCCTGGGACTGCAGTGGGCTCAGGGTGTTTGGACTTAGATAGAAGACCGTTAGGCCTGTCTTCCAAGGCAGGGCCAGACTGAGCAATAGCCGGTTTAGTGGATTGGTGGTCTGCGCTACACTCTATGTCTTATAAATGAGCGGCTCCCCGGCACCCGGCACCATTATTCCTGAGCTACCCCGTGGCAGCAGGTCCCAGGCTGGGCTCTGAGCGGGCGGCGCCGGACAAATCACACTTTGTTTTTAACCTGAGGAGACTCATTGTGGCTGGAAGAAGCACAGATTAGAGTTATGTGTGAGTTTGACTTCACAACAGTAAAGACTTTGGTGCCAAACCATTCAAGTGAAACAACAGTTTATTGTATTTATTTTTATTTATTTATTTTGGTAGCATCGGGCCACTGGTTCTATTAATTATGATGTCGCTGTAGTCATGAAAGAAGACTTTGTGATTTTGGAAAATACTAACACTGGTACAAAAAGAACAGGTCCAACTGGGCCAGAAACAAATGCTCCCCGACAGGCCCTGAGCAGGGCAATTCAGCCCAGTTAACTACCACTTTAGTTAAAGGTTAAAGCAAAGGTCACTGTTGGCTGAAATCATTTGAAATGTAGCAGAACTCTTTGCTTTCCGTCTCTTTTGGGGTGGTGCGAATGTTTGTGCCTGTTCTAACCACAAGAACTGCCTCTGTACAACCTCGATCAGGGCTGTTTTTGGGGGTAGAAATAATTGCCTACAGCAGCTTAGGTGCTTCTGAGCATCCTGGTAAAACTGCTGAGCAGAGCTGATTGGTTAAACTCAGAGAAGACAAATGGTGAACGGCTCAATTAAAGACAGCATAACATCAGAATTTAATTTATCTCTGTTCAAACTCTTTCCATCTTCTACTTTTTCTGCATTCTCAATAAATCTTTATGTGAATCTCTGAACCCGTCCAGCATCACAACAAGATGTCTTTGGTCTCATTTCCAAATCAATCAGATCCACAGAGCTTTTCTGAACCATATCTTTTGAATCATGGTAGCAGGACAGTCACAGTCTCTCTCCACTTTGGGAACCACTGTTGATGATCAAGATTTTAACTAATTACTAACACAGTGTTTTCATATCTGAGTGAACCAATGGCCAGATAATAAAATGAAATGAAGCCCACATTTTCCCCCTCAGTGCCTCATCAGGGAGTCGACCCGTATAAATGTTTTGATAATTGAGTCATTATATTTGAAGTAATCATTTTCAAGCTCCAGCAGAGAGCGCTGCTTTAGACTGTTTTGTGTCATTGTGGATTAAACATTGTGTTGTTTAGGCTGTTATTTGGGCCACACAAGCAGTTTTACAAGAGCTTAGGGACATTGTGATGGGTACTTTACTGTTTTTTGGCTGAACAAATGACAGATTAATCAGGAAAACAATCAAAACAGTGAAGAAAGTAATTGTTAGAGGGCGTATTGTGTGTATCACTGGGAAGCATCACAAACTGGTCCTCCCTATAGCCCACACTATTTATTTTCAGGTTTCCTAAAGTTGTGTTTTCTTACTAATTCAACAACAACACTGCATTTTTTTGCCCCATAGTTTGACAGTTGAGCCGGCGTCTGTAGCAGCCTGTTGTTTGTGTGGTAATGGCAGAATAGTGAATGGAGCCATTAGATGGTGGACAGGGTTGGGGCACCTTCACAGGCTGAGAGCTGGTCTGCTGTTGTCCTCCATCAGCTGAAGAAGCCCTTCGCTGCTCGCTGACGCTGCTGCCCATTATTTCTGGCTATCTGGGTGACCTGTCGCTGCTGTGTCATTTTCACACCACAGGGCTAATTGCAGCAAATGGCGATAGATTTTGAGGGAACAGATGAGATAGGCAGCCTACACTGGCCGCCTGGTGCCAAGCATTAGCTGTAATTTAGTTTATAGCTGCAGAGATTCGCCAGGAGTTGATGTATTAAGACATTTACAGTGAGCCTGTGGTGATGTAGCTGAGCAATAACAGGAGCTATGATGTGTTCTTTTACTAGTTTTCTCCAGGAAGCAAAGAAACTTTACCGTCACTTATACGTGTTCTGCTTTCTTCACTTTGACCTCCTGTAACACATTTTGCTTTTCCTCTCTGTAGCTGGCTGTACCTTTGACGAGGACTCAGACCCTGGTTTGTGTGAATACCGACAGGGCCAAGACGATGACTTTGACTGGCAGCTGATCAGAACCTACAACTGGCCACACCCAACCCCTGATCTCCTACGAGGTAGGCTGAGTCACAGTTAGATGTTCACCATCGTTCCAGGTTTTGCTGTAAAACAGTCACGTGCTGATATGAAACAGGTTCGGCTGCTTCCAGCCCACAGTGTGCTTTCAGATCCACATCACTTCTGACAGTTCAGGACAGTGAGGTGTCGCACTGCTCGGGTTAAACAGCACAACTAGACCTGCATACAGCTCTGCATCCATCTCCACACCCTTTACTCTTGTTTGGACTCACGTACTCATCATTGCAAAGATTTGTTAATATTAATTGTATAGACATATTTGTGCAGAGATATGTTAATATCACATCACAGAGAAAGAGCTCAACAAAACAACAAATGATGCTGTTTATGGATTTGTACATAATGATGTCATAACCTTATAAAAAGAAAAAAAAAACTTCTGCAAAGTTATATTTTTACTATTTTATTTTTTTTTTTAATCCATTTTTCCACTCCTGCTTTCCAGCTGAATAAATCACCAGGTGACCAGTGTTTACAGAGTTTGCCACCTCTGCATGATGCTACTGTGTGTAGTTACTTCTGTGAATAAAGTAATGGCGGTTATTCTCATCTGGCACTGAGCCGGGGTTTTACCAGTTTCTAAGTCATGTAGTATCTCAACATTCGTTGTTCACATTTTGCCAGATTCTAATCAACCTCACACATCTATGAAAGAAAATCTAGACTGCAATTTTTTTAAAATGGCGAGGTCGATTAAAATGTTTTATCAAATGACGAATGATAACGTAGATTGTGCAGAATAAAAATAGATGCAGCAAGTAAACTGACATGAACAAGATAAGCGCTAAGAAACAAAGGTAGTGATATTAGCTTGAACATAGCGGGGCTCATAGGGTTAATGAAGCCCTTCTGTGACATGCTTCCAATCTAAATGATTAACGAGAACATCCACAATCCTTTGCATTTTAAATACAAAACTCTCTCCCTGTTGTTATTATCCTCCCACTGCAACTCACCTCAGAAACACCGTCCAGGGAAACACTAAGTGGATTGTTCATGCTGTAAGTTTGGAAGAGAGCTACCTGAGTTTTAATCTTCATTTGGACACCTGACAACACTTATTAGCCACATTTTGGTGGTGTGCCGTAATTCACAACACACACCTGTTGTAGAGGAACACCTGAGGTAGCTGAGGACTCTGCTCTCATTGGACGGCTCCCTTGTGTGAGTAACGACAGGTAAATGAACATCTGTACGTAACAGAATATTCCAGGCGCTCTTAATATGTATGGAATTGTTTTTACAGTAAATATTTAGCGTCTGGGGTCCGAGAAAAGCAGCAGATTGTTTCTGTAGTTCAGTTTCTGATCAAAGCAACGTGCCGACACTGAACATGAGCACAGGACAGGATCCATTTACATTTTCTATACTAGTCACTACTTAAGAGAAGACACGGTCATGTTTCATCTAAAAGCCATTTAAAGAGCTTCAGCTGTGACATTAAGACAAGATTTAAAAGAGACATAACAACCTTTTAAAAGACTAAATGGAAAAAGATCATAAAAATAAGCTAAAACTTCATAAAACGGGTTCGACAGGAATAAAAATGTAAACACTGTTGAAGTACAATGCAAACTATGATAACAGCCAGTCTCATCTTGTTTTGACCTGTAGACGGTCAGAAGACGTGTCTCAGGCTGGTCAAGCTGCTTTGACGCTTTGTCACGGAGATCAGGAATATTTTCTGGCCCTAAGCTCTGCTCACTAGTTTATAAAGCAGCAGAGGTTATCTAAAGATGGACAGACATCAGCACAGGTCTTCTTGTCTTTTTCAACAGCTTTTAATTTAACTTTCTCTCATGTTTATAGTATTTCAATTCAATTCAATTCAATTCAATGAATTATACTTTATTGATCCCTTGTTTGGCTGATTTTATTACTTCAGTCTCTCTAACAAGTCTTTTTAAGTTCTGAGGCCTCACGAGTCTGTTCTATTGGATCTTGTTATTATGAGATGATTTTTTAATAATTATGGCTTTTAATTGTAACCAAGGCAAATACAGCCTAAAAAAGCAGTTCAGTGCATCCATGGCAACATCATCTCTTCTGTTATTTGTTATTTGTTATTTGTTCACACAAGTGAAGGCATTCGTTGTGTTGTTTTATGAAATTCCCACATTGTTGTAAAAAAGGAACTAAATGAAGGTCATATTCATCAGGTGGTGGCTTCACCTCTGTTCTCTCAAACATTGTGATGGTTGATGAACACTTTAACCTTTTCTCATAATTACAGGATTTTTTTTAGCTTATGATTATAATGACATCATATTATTTTTTCTTATGTTAAAGCAATGTGCTCCTGTGGAGCTGCATTCAGACAATATATTATAAGTAAACAGGTTAAACAATGTGTTCCTGGAAAAGGTAAACAGCTGACACCTGATGGAAAGACTAATTGCTGGCCTTGGGATGTGCAGACGCTTTTCACGAGTGGAGGTGCGACTGACTCGTGAATCAGGGCTTTGCTGAGGCTCACTGAATAAACATGTGAGCTCAGTCAGTGGCTGACTCATCTCTAGAATGAAAAGAAATAATTCCTGCCAATCTCCAAGTCTCTCATTTACCACCGATGGCCTGTCAATAGCGACTGTTCATCAGTTGCTGGCCTTGACTTGGAACCAGACTTCTCTGTGACCACAAACACCAGGACAGTTTTATACACAACCAAACAAGGACGAAGCGCTCGCTGGTGAGTGAGCCGTGGCTGGAGGAGGGTGTGCTGATGGAAAAGGAAACGTTACCAAGGGAACAGTTATAAGTAGAGCAACCACTATGATGCAGTTTTCAAGAGAAAACATACTAAAAACCCAATCTGATGAGCAGACCATCATCAACACCAGCTTTCTGAATACTGGAATATTTATTTTGTGAAAACAAATGTGAACCACAGAAGAATGGATTTTGTGGAGATATTTACCATCCAATCTAGAAACAGAGTTATAAACAATGCACTACACAGAACAAGCCGCCAGTCTACTATAAAGCCGGCGTGCTGCTGCTTTTATGTGCTGTGTTGTTTTTCCAGACGCTTCATTATGGGAGCTCTGAGCATGTTCACAATAAAATAATGACACATTTAATGAAAACAAATTTCCAGCAAACTGACTGTTTGTGCAGCGTTCTGTCTGTTGCCAGAGGGGACCTTCAAGTCCAAACCTCACATCTAAATTCATTTCACTTCAGTCAGGATCATTGTATAGCTTTGAATATGGAGAATCCAAAGAAAAGGAAGCTGCATCATCTATTGTCACAACTTAGATGTTTTTGACCAAGTTTTTAAAGTCTGGTAGCATTAGCTGTTAATGTGAGCGCACTCCTTCATCATAAGTTTAATTAGATTTAATTATAATTTACAACACTGATCACTTCACAAACTGCACTGCACCAAATTCTAAAACATGTTCTGAAACTTCAGAGTATTGAACTTGTCAGTTCATCATATTAAAGTTTAATATAAGAGACAACAAAAAGATGAAGAATAAACACTGAGGGGCTGCAGGTGGAGCGGTGGTTAGCACTGTCGCCTCGCAGCTACAAGATCGCTGGTTCACATCCCGGTGAGGACACCCGGGATCTTCCTGCGTGGAGTCTCCATGTTCTCCCCGTGCAGCGTGGGTTCTCTCCGGGTTCTCCGGCTTCCTCCCACAGTCCAGAAACATGCTGAGGTTAATTGGTGATTGTAAATTGTCCGTAGGTGTGAATGTGAGTGTGCTTGGTTGTCTGTCTCTAAGTGTAGCCCTGTGATAGACTGGTTACCTGTCCAGGTGTGAGTGTGCTTGGTTGTCTGTCTCTAAGTGTAGTTTCCTTCAGATCTTGCTCAGATTCAAAAACTTCAATCTAGATACATGCAGTCTGTCTAGACCCACCTGACTGATGGCCGTCCTCTTCCTCACCGAGCATCACAGTCCATTTCAGACATGACTGTGTAATTTCTTCAAGCTGCAATAATCAATACTTTTTGTTCTACCACAGAGCAAATTACTGTTTGTAATCTGAAGAAGACCACTCATGGACAAACCCAGAGAGAATGTCACCAAACCTGAAGATTTATTCACTCCAGTGTACCTTCTTTGTCTCTTTGAGCTCATTGCTTTTGTTTGCATGTCCATGAATGTACTCGTCCATCTTTCTGCTGTTGTTCACCTTGTTTCCAGCAGCAGACAGGCAGAGGTTCTGTTTTGAGCAGCTCATGATCATAACAGGGAAAAGTCAACACCTTAAAAAATAATAACATTTAGGGAGTTATGCCTTCATAATGAATTTATGTCTTCATCTGACCAACACCAACATATATGGAGCTTATTAGCTCATTAGGCACAGCAACACAGCAAATATTGATCAGTCTTTGCAGTAAAACTATAACTTTAAACAGTAAATTTCAGCTTTAAACTTGATACCAGCCATCTGAGATTGTACCTCTTTAAAAGAAAAAGAAAGTGATAAAGATCACACTCTGCTGACCTGCAGTGAAACCTGCTCACACCAGTGATCACATCAGCCTCTCACTCGTGTACCTTCTAAAGAAGTATGAATAGGCTTTATTTCAGGTCTGAATGGATGTTAATGGATGTTAAAATGGACTTACAACCTACAACTGCACGCTCACCAGGGTTTCTCTGTGATTCATGGTGAACAATCTTATTACGTTGGACCCGTTTCCAGTCATCAGCCGGCTGACAGCTTGTTTCACCACATTCACTGCTTTGCTGTTTTTCATGTGTCAACACAGGTGGCCTGCATCCAATCTGCACTGACATTTTCATGTGTGTTTTCTAAGGCGGGTTATTTCTCTCCTGAAAAGTACCAGCACACATCTGAGAGGAAAACGTGTGAAAGGTGGTGCTGGTTATAGGCTGCCGGCTCGGCTAAATTGTTGGCGATTTGCAGATGGAGCTGGCAGACGTCTGGGATTTCATAATTCACGTTCAGTTATCAAGTGCTTGTTCCGCTGTTCCAGGCACGGCTCCCCAGAGGCATG